ACAAATCCTACAGCCACCCACAAACCCCCCCCAAGCTCCTGGCAAAAACCTCACAGCCCCTCCCCCCACAAATCTCACACCCTGCATACCCAACCACCAGATGGGACGGGACCTGCTGGTGGGAGCCACAGCTACATGGGCAACTACTACACTGCAGCCCTGCCCCGTGCCCATACCAGTGCTGGAACATGACATTCAGCCTCGCCCTGGGAGTGCTCCTGGTCCCAGAAACAACTTGAGGGGTACAGGAGGCTGGGCTGCATTGTCCGTTCCACAGCCCAGGTGTCCATGAGGGTCTGGCAGGCATGCAGCCATGGGGCTGCAGGTCTAAGGGGGAGGATGGTATCGTAGGTGACAGCAGATCACAGCCACACAGTAGCCCCCACTTCCAGACTGCTGCAGTGGGTAGAGGGTGTGGGGCCCACTCTAGGTTAGGGCTGCCTCAGCAGTCCAGCTGGCACAAGGAACTAGACCCAAGCAGGGACTGCATGGCTGCCTGGGGGGTGTTGGCAGAGACCCCTGGCAGTGTGGCACTGCCTCAAACCCAAGATCTGCACATGTTGCTGGCCCGGTCGTTGACATGCGCCCTCAAACACAACCAGGCCACTCTTGCTGTCACCCACAGCTCCTGGCACTGCACACAGAAGCTGTGCACCATCAGGCCAGGCCAGCTTCTGCCTCCATGTGGCCCATGTGCTATCAGGCCAGGCCAGCTCTATGGAGGCAGGAGCTAACCTGGACCAACAGCACATGTGTGGTGCCAGGAGCCATGGGTGACAGCATGAGTGGCCCAATTCTGCCCAAGGGTGCACACCAGTGGCTGGGCCAGCACCATATGCAGCCACCAGATCTAAGGTGGTGCCATGCTGCCAGGGGGTTCTTGCAACTGCATGCCATGAGCACCCTGATGGCCACTACTGCTGCTGCAGGGGGGCTGTGCGCCATGCAGGGTCAGGTGAGGGACCCATCCCTCCTGAGCAGTCTCCCCCACCCCCACAGTCTTCCACCCCACCATGTCCTTGCTTACCTGGGACAGAGCCTGGATCTGAGCCATCACTGCAGCTTTGTCCCACTCCTATTTGCCCCAGCACCATGAGGCAGCATGGTGGAGCAGCAGGGGCACATGGCAGCTATAGAGACACTCTGGCCAGGTGCCAGAGCATCTCCTTGGAGGACCCAGCCTCTTGTTGTCTCCGGACATGCTACAGGAGCATGTCCTACACTGGTTTTTCCGGCATGTTTTGATTTTGTTTTTTTTATATTGGGATTTCCTGGTATCAAATTTAGAGTCTGTGCTGCAAATATGCAGCGGGGGAAACATCTTTTCATTCCTAGCGTGCCCCGTGGCATCTCAAAGTGCTCTGAGATGCTGCAACAGGCATGTGCTCATTTGTCTGGATGCGGCTCTTGAGTCTATCCAGGGTGCTTTAACTCTAAAACATTTGAGAACGCTAGTGTACAGGATAGCATCTGCTGGTAGAAAAACGGAATTGGTTTTATATACTGTCACTTTTTTACTTGAGATATGTAATGAGACTAAGTCAGGTCTGAATTGATTTCCTGTATTAGGAAAGGAAAGAGGACAGGACAGGAATAAAAAAACCCACAAACCTATTTCCTCCTCTTTTGCTGAATCCTCATATACTGTCACAGAATCATAGGAGCAGTCTTCATTTTCTTCTATTTCAAAAGACTGATAAGTAAGCTAGAAAGGGAAGAAAGAATCAGATTGTTGAGCTGGGAGTAGGAGATGGGAAAGACCATTTATAGGTCTTTAATACACTAGATGATTTTTCTAAAAGGCCAAGTATTAAGATAGATGATGTATGCCTATAAAATTAATACTACCATATTTATTTGAATCTAAGATGAGGGTTTTTTTGAGGATTCAGAATGGGGGAAAAACCCCAGTCTTAGGTTTGAGTATGGGCTGGGCAAACAGCTGCTGAAGCTCTGAACAGAGCAAGATAGTGGGCGCATGGAACAGAGGGAACATGGGGGGAGAGGGCATGTAGTGCAATGAGAAGCATGGAGAAGGGGTGCATGGTACAGAGGAGAGCACAGGCTAAAGGGTGGCAAGGAGATTGTAGGGGAAGGGATGTGCAGAGCAAGGGGAACCTTGGGAAAGGGACTTGTGGAGCATGAGGAAAGGGCACAGTTCAAGGGAAACATGGAGTGAGGGGAGTGAAGGGAAAGGGCATGAGGAAGGGTGCATGCAGTGCAGGGGGAGTGCAAGGGAAA